AGAACAGTGAAGCAGAAAGGAAAGTAGAAAGAGAAGTATAATGAAGAAAATGCCTTAGACACAGCCCAGGCAAAAATGTTCATACAAAGGGAAAGAAACCACGTAAGATGAAGAATTTACATGAGACATAACCAAACAATGACAGATACCATTTCTTATCCATCAGGCTACCAAAAAAAAATCCACATGCAAAACTAACAATGCTAAGATATCATAAAGATGTAAGTAAATGGGAACACCAGACACTCATAGAATTTAAAAGGACTTGAGACTACTTTGGAGAAAGAACATGCCAGTACATTTGAAAACTTTAATGGGAGAATTTCAAGAAAATATGAATTACTAAAATATATCAGTTAGCTTTCTGTTGCTGTGACAAAATACCTGACAAAACCAGTTTAAAAGAAGGAAAGGTTTATTTTGGCTAACAGTTTCAAATGTTTCATTCCATTGTTCTGCTGGCGCCACTGTTTCTGAGCCCAAGGTGAAACAGTACAGCATAGCAGAAGGGTGTGGTAGAGGAAAACTCACCTCTTGGCAACTAGGGAGCAGAGAGAAAGAGCCAGAGAGGAAGGGGCTGGGGACAAGTCATGCCCCCATGACTCACTCCCTTCAATTAGGCCCTGCCTCTAAAGTTTCCATTACCTCCTAACAATGCAACTAAATTGTGAATGGATTAATCCACTGATTAAGTTAGAGTCCTCATGATCCAGTCACCTTTCAAAAGCCCCACCTCTGAACACCGGAGCCTTTGGAGGAAATTTTTAGATCCTAACTAACCATGTCCAAGAAAGAAAGCCCTACATACCAATAACCAAAAAGAAGTTGATATCCCCAAATCCCACATCCTCACAAGTTTACATTTGTTTAAATTTATTGTAAGTACTATATAGATGAGCAGAGCATTTGTGAAGAAAATTGCAAAATATACTTTAAAAACATAAAGGAAGACCAAAAGAAATGGTAGGATAAGCCAGTCCTGGTGGCACACACATGCAACCCCAGCACCCAGGAGACCAAGCTGGGAGGATCCCATGAGTTCAAGACCAACCTGAACTACATAGCAAAAACCCTGTCTTCCTTGCAAGCACAAGGTCCTGAGTTCAATCCCCGGTACAAAACCAAACAAACAAAAAACCCTGCCTCAAAAAAAAAGATGAGAGGATATATCTCATTCATAGACAGCAACACAGTAACACTTAACCAAGAATTAACCTATAAATTTGATTCTAATAAATATTTAACAAGGTTTTTTTTACAGAACTTGACTAGTTCCAAGTTACATGAAATTTTGAAAAAGACTTACTAGAGATAATTATTGTCATAGTAATTGCACAGTGCTGTATGAAATCTAGAGCTAAACAAAAAGACCAGTAGAATATAAAGGAGACTTCAGAAACATTCAAGCATTTTAAAACTGTTAAAATGGTGCAGTAAATATTAAAACCCACTAGGATGACAGTAAAAACAAGTGTTGGCAAAAAATGTAGAGAAATTGGAACCCTTGTGCACTGGTGGTTAGAGAGTAAAATGACACAGGTGTTATGGAAAACAGCATGGCAATTCCTTACAAGAATTACCACTTCTCAGAAATCCTTTATCTCAGTAAATTTCCAGGAGAGTGAAGACAAGGACTCCAACACATACTTGGACATTGTTCATGGCAGCATTTTTCACAATAGCCAAAGGATGAAAGCAACCCAAGTATCCATCGACAGATGAATATATAAACAAAATTTGGTATTTTTAACCTTAGAAAGAAAATTATAATACATGCTACAACATGAAGGCAATTTGAAGGTATTATACAAAATGAAAAATCACAAAAAGACAAATATTGTATGATTCCAATTATATGAAGTATCTAGAGTAGTCAAATTCTGAAAGACAAAAGTAGAAGGGTAGTTGCCAGGGACTGAGGGATGAAGGGACTAGGGAGTTGTTTAGTAGGTGTAGAGTTTCAGTTCTACAAGATGAAAAGAAGTATGGAGATTGTTTGCAAAATATGAAATTACTTAGGCCAACTAAACTATTTTAAAATGGTTAAAATGATAAATTTTATGTTTCATGTATTTTACCAGTTAAAAAATAAATTTCAAAAATATCTGGGAATTGAAATTTTAATAAGTGGGGTTGGAATAACTGCACTTTCTTACAAAAAATTAAATCAGATTCATTCCTTATATCATACCAATGCTATTCAAGACCTAAGTTTAAAAAAACTTTAAAACTATTTAAGAAAATGTAGAGAATTATCTTTTTCGCTTTAGAAATATGGAAGTGTTTGAAAAAGAAAGCATAAAAAGTAAAAAAAAGATTAATAATTTTGACTATGCCAATATTGTAACTTTTGTATGACAGTCAAAACGAAGCTGGGTGTCATGGTGCATGCCTGTATTAGGGAGGTTGAAGCAGGAAGATTGCCTGAACTCAGGAGTTTGAATTTTAAGACCTTGTCCTGTCTCAAAAAAAAAGTGCAAACTAAGGCTGGAAATATAGCTCAACTGCAGAGCATATTTAGTACTTCAGAGGTCCTAGATTTGATCCCCCCAGCATCACACACACACACACACACACACAATGGTAAGGTACTGTATTATTCTGGAAGATATATTAGCAATATTATAAAAGCAATATCCAAAACTTTACACACATATACACATATACACTCATGCATATATAATCTATAAATCAGTGAAATAACACAACTGGAAAATGGACAAAGCATATAAACAATTAGGAAAGTACAATGACCAATATATATTTTAAAACCCCACTAATAATCTAAACTTAATAACAAGATACCATTTCATATCCATCAGCTTGACAAAAATAACAGAATAATACAAAACCTAGTGAAAATGTGGGTGAATGGAATTTCTCATAGATGGCTGATGGGAAGATGAATTGGTACTGTCATTTATAGAGCAATTTGTCACCCATCTAGTGAAGTTGAAAGCCCTAAAATCCCACAATTCCCTATAAATCCTTGAGAAATTTCCAAAAGTGGTGCAAGGATAGTAACAGCAAAATAATTTGTAAAGGAAAAACTGGAAATAATCCACATTTCTATCAGTACATAGAAGATAAATAAGTTAAGGTTTATTTGATAATACAAAAAAAAGGAATGAAAAAAGAATGGATGCATATTAAATTCATGCTTCTAAGGAAGCAGGAAAAGGAATAGGACTGAGAATAGAAAGGCAGGCAACTTCAAGTATATTTAGAATATGTTTTTCAAATGTGAGCAAATAAATAAACATGAACAAATCTTCACCTCTTTTTTTTTTTTACAGTGCTGGTGATTGATGCTATGCAAGTGTCCTACCAGTGAGCTACACATTTTTTGACACCTCTTTGGTTTTAAATGTTTGTATACCCCATTAAGAAGTATGTCTTTGGGAAGTAACTAGATTATGAAAGTGTAGCTCTCATGCGTGGGATTAGCGCCCTTACAAAAGAGCCCTAAGGGAGCTTGTTTGCTTCCCTCATCATGGGAAAATGTGGAAGAAGTCACTAAGGAACAGATCCTCACCAGACACTGAATCCATTAGGACCTTAACTCAGGCTTTTTAGCCTCCAGGTCTGCGAAAATGTTTCTATAAACACCATCAAGTTTACGGTGTTTTTGTAATACCCAGACAGTATGACAGTAATCATTTCATGGGTAAGACAATAATTTCTGTGTATTAATTTTTAACTTAAAAAGATGAAGTCCAGGATAGAAAAACAAGGTGGTGAACCAAGGAGGGGCCTTAGAGACTAAAAAAGAAAAGGAGAATCAACTATTCTGGTCTTAGTAAAGCCACACAGTTTAAGGGTATTGACAGAGTGAAAGAATAGCTGTTGAAAAACAGCCATTCATTATGGCTTTAGCATGATAGTAAGATAAAAAGATTTTCAGCTTCATAGATTAAATAGTTTAAAGAAATGAATAAACCAAAAATTTAGGAACTAAAAATAATTACATAGTAGAAATATACAGTCTTGTGCTGGGTGCTATGAGAAAGGAAATAATAGGAGATGTGGTCCCAGCACTTATTAGGAAGTTGAGATGCAAGGAGAATTGATGAATCAATAAAAGTGGGATAACTTTTGAATAAATAAAAATGAGTGGTTTAGATAATATATTCTACAGAAGTTCAGTAGAGGAGATAAAGATAGATTATTAATTAGTCCAAGATTACAAAACAGAACAAGAGGAGACACATAGAAATAGGGTTTGGATAGAGAATAAAGACTGGCAGGGAATTTTAGGTACAAGAAAAGAATGCATACAAAGTATAATAGCACAAATGTATGAAGTATGTCTGGAGGTGTGGCTAAAGACCACCCTAGCTGGAGCAGACACTACAAGGCAATGAGAAATACAGTTGGAAAGATACGCTGAGACCCTAACACAAAATTCTAAAATTTTAAGTTATTTTAGACAGGGAACTACCAAAGATTTTAAGTAGAAGAGTGTATGACAAAAATATTAGTGTAGGAAAATTATTCTGGAGGCATTCAAGAAAAGACTAGAAGCAAGGAAAAAAAACATTTTTTTAAGGAAATAAACTTTGATGATGCTTATCAAACTACAGAAGTTTTCACCTCTTATTTTTATAAACAAACTTTAAAAATTATTACCTTCCAGCTTGAGATTTATCCCTCCACATTCTATAATTCCAATGAATTTGCCTTCTATCTGACCGTTTTTATAAACAAAAATCGTTGGTAAACAATTATCATGGTAGTGTTGAATACAGCTATCCACAATGGCTTTAACAAATTTAGTTGCTGGAAACTTTCTTGCTAGGAGACTAAGATGCTGATTAACCAACAAACACATTGAGATGCTAAAAAGAAAAATGGTACACATAATATATTTTTAAAACAGACTACTCACTTCAGTCTAATAAAATAAGTGAGACACCTCCATAAAAATAATATATCTCTAGTTTTTATATAAAGGCATATCCTAATCATCATCTATGGTTACCTTTACCATTGATAAATTGTATGTACAATCCTCTGGTTCTTATTGGAAACACCACTGTATCCTAGAAATAAGGTAGCTATCACGGGAGTCTAATGCCTTACTTAGGCAAACTACTTTCAAATTATTACCAATTTAAGTCATTATAGTTTCCATAGGTAGGACACGGAACAAAACAAAAAAACTGCATACTTCTAAGAAGCCTCTTGAGTTTTTAGTTGAAATAAAGTTCACAAGTTTATTTCTACATAATGAGATTATCATATCCAAAGTTCCTCATCTCAGACTTCCTTGACTTTCTTGACTCTAACAAACTTCAGCCTCATCTTCTTTAGCATTCCATTCCATGTCACCTCCTGGTCCCCATTCTCCAGAATTATTTCTCATCAGAAATTAAAAATTGATTAAAAATATGACCAAATCCTCCAACTTTTCCTGCTTAATCACTTAATTCCCTAAATTATACCCATTCTCCAATTTGTCCCCTTTCTCCTAGTCTATGTCCCTCATAGATAACCTGTTTTAGGGTTAATCTCACCACCTCTACTTTATTCCACAGCCCTTACATTCCCTATGGTACTTGGTTATTCTGCTTCACACTTCTGTTTTCTCATTGTTCCTTCTCCGAAGACTCATTTCCCATTTTAAGTTTATTTAAATTAATAAATCTTAGAGTTTTTATTTTTAGGCCCTTACAACCCTTCCTCCCCTTCTAATAATTACTCTCTTTCCTTCTAGTCTCAGCCCTTTTTCAAAAGGGAAGGGGAAGAGTGTTTCTCTTACCTCTATTTTTGAAATGCTGTCCTCTTTTGGTTTCTGTAATAACACTTTCTATTGATTTTTTTTTTAACCTGTGACTTCTTTCTGTCTTTGTTCAAATGTAGATGTTCCTTGTAATTACGTCCTGGACCCTATTCTCAATCCAGACACATTCACTGGACAATCCTAACCGTCCTGACATCAACAGCTGATAAATTTCATCTCCCTTCCTCCCCATCAAAAAAAAAAAAAATCTGATCTATATTTTATTAGGTTGGCACTCAGGCCCCAAATCTCCATTTCTTCCATTGTGTCTGATCAGTAATCAAGTCATATTGACTCCATCTCCTCATTTTATATCCATCTGTACCCATTGCTTTACTCCTTTCCTTTCTTATCTGAGCTATATCAGATTACAATAAATCTCTGTTTACAGACTCATTGTCTGTATTGATCCTTGACTTGTTTACAAAGAGAGCTCAGCATGAAAATCTAATTGTGTAACCCTGAGATTTTGCTGTTTCCCTAAACTCAGAATCCTTTAGTGGCTCCTCACTGCCTTCAGGATAAAGTCTGGATTCTGCAGTGGGGTCTTCAAGGGTCTCAATGGCCTGGCCCTTGCCTATTTTTCCAGTATTATTCTCTATTTGAATCCATATTGCACCATGTGCCTGAGGGAGATCAAATTACATAAAGCCTTCCAAAGCACCATGATACCTCATACTTCTGTGCCTTTGTTCAAGCTGCATATTCCTTCTAAAATAACCCATTCATCCTGTTGTACTCCCTCTAACCCTGTAAACCTGGGGAATTCATTCTTTTTAAATCCAAAACCAAGAATCAGTTACCATAAGAATTTTCCATACTTCCTTCTCCAAAGGTAGAACTTAACTATTTCATCTCTAGTGCCTTTATTCTACTCTGTAGACTTCAACAATGGCACCTAAAAGACTTTATATTTTTTTCCTTGTATTGTATTAAAATTTATGTAATAGAAAACACAGATGTTTAATTTACCTTTGCATCCCTAGCATCAATGAAATTCTTAGAAATCTTCTAATTTTAGGTCATGTATATATCAGTTTATAGAGGAAAAAGCTAAACAAGACAAGTTATATATTGAAAGTTCAAAATATAAACTTGGGAATATGAATAATATAAATGTAAGATTTGATAAAAAAAAAAACCAGTGACAAGATTGGTATCAAGCTGAACCACTAGGCTCACTGACCCAGTGAGCTTAGCTTGCTGTAAAGGATCTTAAGCAGACTCAGCCTCCATTTGGTAAAAAGTCAATCCAATTCCGTAAATTTAATAGTGAAGAATTTAGGTACCTAGTGAAAAACAAACTTTCACCTTCCTATAAAACTCATAGGAGGTAACTAGAAACCCAAATTTGTTTAACAGTTATGTTTCTTTTTATGATATTTAAATGTTATTAATAAATTCATCGTAAAAACTAGATTCTTCTGGGATGGAGGTGTAACTCAGAGGTAGAGTGCTTGCCTAGAATGTGTAAAGCCCTAGGTTTGATCTCCAGCACTGTAAAACAACTAGGGAAATTTAGTGACTTAGTCAGATCCTAGCTCAATCAATCAATCAATCAATCAATGGGCTGGAAATGTAGCCTAGTGCTAAGGTCTTGGTTTCAATCTCCACTACCAAAACCAAAACCAAAACCAAAATTCTTTGACTTTTCTAAGAATATTTGAAACAAATAATCATTTTCTATTATGCATTTTATAAATTTGGATTTTTAGAGATGGGTTTTCTTATAATATATGTTATACACCAATATATGGCAATACTTTACCACTGAGCTATATCCCATCCCCAAATGTATTTTCTTAATGTCAAGAAAATATTTTATATAATGATCTTAGATTGGCATCAGAAAACCTTCTGAAGTTACAAATATTTATTATGAAACTACATTCTTACTTTTTGAGAATGGCAAAGCATATGAGATTTTGAAGTACACTAAAACACATTTCAACCTCTTTATGAATTTTTGAAAATTATTTGTTCAAATTAGTAATTTATTTAGAAATAGCCTTTAAAGGAAAAAATGTATTTACTTTAATGTGCATTCAGAAGCAGCATCCATTCTGCTAATCATGTAGGGTCAGAAAAGACCTTCAGTGAACCACATTAGTATATAACATTTACTACAAACAGATCTCAGATTTGTAGATGTCAGTGTTTCTCATCCTTATCTGTGAGAACTACTTGCAGCATTTACAAATTGGTTTACTCAATGAATGGAATAGAAAAATGGGAAGGTGATTATTTTTAAGACTTTAAAACTCTTTAAAAATCAATCTGACAATAGTTTTAGTTAACAATAAAAGTCACGTTTACTTTTATGGGGCATGTCTTATAATTTGGCTGAGAAACTGATGAGCTGATAAATTGCAGGACTGAATTTCCATAAATTGCTCTGAATGTCTCTAAGAATCTGGAGAAGAAATACATTATTCAGAGATTAAGATGAGAATAATGAGGGCTACTGTCATGGCCTCTATCCATGGAATGTCAGCAGCCCTGAGGCCTGGGGCCTGGGACCTTAGAGCCAGCTAGACTTTCAGTAAGAGAATGAGAGTAGGTAAAAAGTCTACTCTCCTCAGCCGTTACTGTGCCAGGCTGATAAGGAATAGGGACATTTGTACATTAGTACAATGGAGCATTTTAAAATTAACTTCTTGGAAAATGAGGATGTGCAGGGAAGTATTCTATTAAAAGAGCCATAAGAGACATGAAATATCTGTATGTTCTACATGATCTTTGATTGGTTCCATTGAGCAAATAATATGAATTAAAGAAAATTTGAAGTCAGCTGGGAAAATTTGAGTGAGAACTAGGTAGTAAATGCTACTAGGAATTACTTTTAATTTTGTTAAATGGAAAAATGGTATTGTGGTTGTGTAGAAGAATGCCCCTGACAGGTTCAGAGTATACTGTCCTAAAATATGCCACTCTGGCATAAGGATTATTTTGAGCTGAAAGTAACTGAGAAGAAACGCAAGAAAACTCTTTGCCTTCCCTCTGTCTATCAGGAAGAATCATGGGGATTCTTAATAACTGAAGATAACTGGAGACCAGAGAAATCTACATAACAAACCTTACTAAAACAACCTTTATCTCTTACTACTTTCCTCCATGTATTTACCTTCCCACAATTTGTTACCTCACAAAGTCCCTTTCCTTTGCCACTTTTTTGCATCACCAACTCTTAGAGTTAATAATAGACTTCTATTGTTTTTCTCTTGTTAATCTGTCTGTTGGCTACTCTGTAAGACCCAGTCAATGAACCTGAGATAGGCAGAGAAATTAAGAATTTTTCTTTCCAACACCATTGTGTGAGTGTGTGAGGGTTGTTTTTTTTTTGAGTAGGAAAAATTTATTCCAAGAAAGAAAGCTTCTGCCTAAGAGAGACAGAAGGGGGACCAGAAAGTGGATTGCCCACCCACCCACTTTTCAAAGATGTTCTATACAGCAAAGAAATGTCGTGAGGTGGGTACAATGTAGGACAAAACTATAAGACTCAATGGAAATTTACAAGGTGGGGATGAGGTGGGAAAAAACCATGACCAACCAATAAGATTACAAGTGCAGTCACCTAGGTAATATTGATTAAATCCAAAGGGGAAAAAAGTCATATAGCAGGTGTACAAGCAACATCATTGTGTTTAAAAGATGCTTGCTGAAGTACTCAGGAATAAATCACCACACAGTATATAATTTACTTTGTAATGCTTTTTCAAATGCCAATATAAACATAGAAGCAATGATATAAATATGGCAAAATGGTCATTTTTGAATCTATGCTAAGGTAATTTTTCTGTATTTTCTCCAATAATTCTCCATAATAAAAAGTTTTAAACTAATTACAAAAAGTATTTATTTTTCTAAGAAATGAAATGAGCTCTTCAAACTCAAAATAAAAATATTTTAAAATACCTAATTTAATCCCTTAAACCAATGACTATTAAAACTCTATAGATGTATTTACATATGTGTACTATATATGTCTTTTTTGTTATATGCATTAGAGAACTTTAAAATCAGAAATGTCTTTTAAAATATGAGTACCTTAACATTTTGAAATGTTATGATAGTTACCTTGATCTGTACAGATGAATTATAACCCACACATCTTTTTCTGCATTTGTGACTTCATTCACATATTGATTTCCAGAAATTTCTCTTAATTCCCCAAATTTTTGTTTCTTCTTAAATATTTTCCATTCCTTTAACCGCTTTTCTCTAATTAAAAAGTAAAATTAAGTTACTTAAGAAAATTGTCATATTCTTCAGGTCATTTTCATACACAGTAACAGTTTAGGGCAAGGAATAAAATGACCATTCATATCAAATATTTTAAGTGATAGGATAACCATCAATGATCATATAAAGCCAATTTATCGTATATGGGAATTTATGTTATGATGACTACTACAAAGCGTAATAAGTTTACAATCACTTTTAAGTTTATTTTTATTTAAGACTAGGTTATTTAGACATCAGGCCAACAAATTCTCATGCACAATTTAAATACTTCATAAGAATTAGACAGTTTCTACAAATAAATGATAATGCCAATACAACATACAGGAATCTATGGGACACAATGAAAGCAGTTCTATGAGGGAAATTCATAGCAGTGAATGCCCACACTAGGAAAACAGAATGAGCTCAAATAAACAACCTAATACTGAATCTTAATCTCCTAGAAAAAGAAGAGCA